AAAATATGAATCTCTATAGCATATCCTCCTTGAAATATAAAGAAACATTTATAAACAATATTTGGAAATTTGGGTGTAGTTCTCTTCAAACTCTCCCTGCTTTTTGTTGGGGAAAATATTTTGGGGGTTATTCATAGTGACCTTTCGGGAGGTATTGGTCCATCAAAACACATTAGTCTGGAATTAATTCACAGGTTTTCATCTTCTGTGGAAACAAAAGCAGAACCTTTTTTCCAAAGCACAATATCCATAGACTCAAATTCTGAAATCAAGATACCTTTAAAATATATACACTGGTTTAGCTTAGCAACCATTAAATAAAATGTCTCTCTGTACTTAGCTTCTTTACAGTCAAAAAATTAAAAGAAAACACAATAATATGCATAATACAGGCTCTCTGTGTATTTTCCATCTTTATGTGGCTTATTATTATTTTTTACTGCTTTTAATCTATGACTGTCTATACTCTGTCTTTTTAAAGACTTTTTTATTTTTTTAAAGCCATTTAAACCTCTTTTTATAACTCTCTATACTCTTTTTCTTCTCTCTCCCAAGCCTACATACATTTATCCAACATTGTGACCCATTTAGAGGTCTTTTCCATCTGAATTTGTTTTTACTGAAATTATTTTTTGACCAGGACAACTTCTTAAAATGTTAAGTGCTTCTTAAGAACCTAAGCTGTGGCATATATATATATATATATATATATATATATATATATATATATATGGTATATATGGCCCTGCCTGTTTGCTCCGCCCAGTCCAGCATGGTGGAGCTGTTTGTTGCCTCTGAGAGCCATGTACATTGTCCCGTTTTAGGCACATAGTGGGTCTATATTGCCATTAAGCAAGGTGTAGCAATCTGCTCACAAACCCCATTTAAATGCTCTATAACTGGACCTCGTCAGAGTTTGTGCTGGCAGCATGGCCCAGAAAGCCACAGCCTTTTTTTTTTGTTATTGTTACTGCTGAATCAGGAAAACCTCTCTTAAAGGAGCCACAGCATGCCACCAGCAAGCAAAGCCCATGTGAGAACAAAAATGTGGCCAAACTTTGTTTTTTAGTGTCTAGAATTCCTTTCCAAGCCCTCTCAGGTTTTATGTGAATTTTAGTTGGCCACGTTGGTGCCAATTTGTTGACAAAGGTTGCTTGTTTATTTCCTGACTGCTCAGCCCCAAAATAATCACACAGAAATATAAATCACTGCTTTGTCCATTTGCTCTAGCTTCTGATTTGCTAGCTCTTCTTAATTTAACCTATCTTCATTTCTTCTTCTTGATAGATGTAGGTGTCCCTGAGAATAATGTCAGGTGTAGATTAGTAACTCACATTTAACATACCTGAATATTTTGAACTAACAGGTTACATGAAATTATGAGTAATCTGTTTTTCCCCAGCACAAAGAACCATTCACTTTTCATCAAAATTGCATTGTAGTAAATGTATTAATTCTGTTTCGACCATGTAATTCATTTTTTATGTTTCTAGATCCTCAGTATCAAATTCTTGCCAAAAAAAATCCGAATGAAATGGGATTTCTTTTTGTTTGTTTGTTTGCTTGTTTATTATGTATACAATATTCTGTCTGTGTGTATGCCTGCAGGCCAGAAGAGGGCACCAGACCTCACTACAGATGGTTGTGAGCCACCATGTGGTTGCTGGGAATTGAACTCAGGACCTTTGGAAGAGCAGGCAATATTCTTAACCACTGAGCCATCTCTCCAGCCCCCCCTGAAATGGGATTTCTTTGACTTACATTCTGGAGGACACAGTAATTTCTATGAAGTTATCAGGGACTATATCTTGAATTATACATTATTTTCAAGCTCTTATTTATATTCAGCCCCTACTATCTATCACTAGTCATAAAATAAGCTAAATTACAACTACAACAGACTTGTACTTGTAACTAATTTGACTCCTAATTTTATCAGTAATTATTATAAATAAACATTACTTAATAGACTTATCTATTATAGTTATATAATAGCTATAATAGTGGGTAAGTTTCAAATATACTTAGAAAAACATTCTTTTTCCTTTTAAGTACCAATTTTAATGTTCTGCTTTTTATACCTTTTTAAAAGGGGACCCATAAGAAAATATTCTATAAGAAATAGGGTCAGGAAAGGTTTATTCTAGCTTTAGTGAAGGTCCTTTTCTTTGTCAGTGTTCTTTAGCAGGTTCCTTACAGATTGAAACATTCTATCCTGCAGGTAATTTTTTTTTTTTAAAGACAGAAACCCTGTTTCTGCAGTTCTGATGCTGTCCTGGAACTCACTATGTCTGGACCAGGATGGCCTTGAACTCACAGAGATTAGCCTGCCTCTGTTTCCTAGCTGTTGAGAGTAAAGATACCCAGTTTAAAATTTATGATTGGTTGTTGTTTTTTATGTGTATGGGTGTTTTGCCCACTTGTCTGTGTACCATGTACGTGCATTGTCCATAGAAGACAGAAGAGGGCAGCAGATCTCACGGAGCTGACGGTACAGAAGGTTGTGAAGCTACCTTATGGGTGCAGGGGAATTGAACCCTGGTACTTTGGAAGACCATTCAGTGTTCGTAACCACCAAGCTATCGCTCCAGTCCTGCCCGTAAACTGTTTAAGACAAAAGGTAAACAACTCAAGATAGCTCCAGAAAGGAAGTCTCTGAAACTGACCAGATTTACTGGGCTCCTCCTTCCCAAGAGTAAAGACTGCTGAGGATCACTCTCAGGCAAGCCAAACTTCAAAGACTCTTGAGAATAGACCAGCTGCTTGAAGAAGCAGAAATCAGAAGAGCTGCCTGGAAGAGATACCTGGGAATGACAGTCTCTGCTGAGCTGCCTGGAACCTGTGCAGGGTGCTCCAGGTTCCCAGCTTTGTGAACTGCCACCCAGACTTCAGTGGGCTTTGGTGATGCAGCTGCCTTTGAATCATTTCTGTATCCCTTACCTGTGTTCCTGTAAATGACTCCTATCAAATTCACTGGGTCACCAATTATGCTTTGGTGGTATTGTAGGGTAAAAGGGACAACTGGAGCAGGAAACCAACCAATTACTGAGCACCCTGACTCTGAACCCAGAGTCCAAAAATGAAACACATCCTATATTTGAGACCTGGGCCAGGGATAGAAACACCTTTATCCATGAAACATCTTTATACCCAGGACTAAAGACATGTACCTTGCCTCTGAATCTAGTGTCAAAGAAACACATGTTGTCCTAGAATCAGAGCCAGTGAAAGAAATGTGCCCTGGTCCTAAGATTAGAGTCAAAAAACTAAAAAGGACCAGAGAAAGAAACATAGTTTGGCCATGAAGTGAGAGTCATCTCTGCCCCTGACCAGCAAAACTGACCAATCTCTGAGCAGGAAAAAAAAAAAATAACCAATCCTCCTTCTCCCTGGGAAAACTTCACCCCTAAGAAGCCCTATGTAAGCAAGCCTCTCTATCCCCCTCACTTAAGAGCTGCCATTAATCCTTTCGTGGCAGAGGCAAACACTCTTCTGGATTCCTCCTTCCCAAATAAATCTCTTTCTCAAAAGAGTCTTGGTGACGACCTTAATTTGCTGGCACAGAGCAGAACAAGCTGGGTGGGATGTCCTTTAGGGGATGGAGCTGAAAAACTTTGCTGAGATGCTCCCTAAGGGCCTCAGTAAGGCTGAACAGAACAGAAGGACCTTGCTAGGATGCTCCTTAAGTGGGGCTGAGCAAGGCCAGGCAGGAAAAAGTAACAACTTTTCCCCAGAGCAGAAGAGATAACTACATTTCTGCAGGGGGCTTCCCCTTTTGCCGAGTGTTAGCAAATGAAAAAACATCTTGGACAGGAGAAGCAGATAGCTCTGCTAGGACGCTTCCTTAAGGGAACAGAGCAGAACTCAGCTGTAATGGCTCTCTAGGAGAAGAGTAGGGTCCCTATATCCTGCAGGGAGACCATTCATTCCCCCACCACACCCCAGCTTCAGGTAGCCTGACTTACTGATAGTCAGGACACCTTTCCTCCAGGGCTGAGCTGTCCTATTGCAGCTCCAGCCTCCAAAGCTGTCCTATTGTGTCTCTACACCGACCTCCTCCCCAGAGCTGTCCTATGGTGGCTCTACCTCCCCCAAAGCTGTCCTACTGTGGTTCTACCCCTCCAGAGCTGTCCTACTGTGGCTCTAAGTATATCCTGGTTTCCTGATATGTCAGGATATCCCCGCAACACTACCGTAACACACTCCCCTATAGATATCCATACCTGGGCCAACCACGGGCTATCTGGGTTGAGTGCACGTGTGTTGTGTCCCACCAGGAAGTCCTGTCACACAGCAATCAGAAGTTAAATGTTATCAGCTGACAAACAACGTTATACCTTTAGTCTTCATCTGTCACCACAGCATGCCTATGGCAAACGGGAGGTAGGCACAGGAGGGCTGCCAGGACACTTCCGGTCAGCTTGTCTGGAGTACAAACTTAACAGCAGAAACAAGGAAGGCACCACCTCAGAAGGGTGAAAGGTGAAACTGACTCTACAAAGTCCAATGACCTCCACATGCAGGCTGTAGCATTTATACACAATACAGAAAATATCTTTAAAATGTGCTTGATAACCTTAAAGGATTATCTACAGATATTTTATGCTTTCAACTTATAGAATCATAAAACCAGACAGAGAAGGGAAAATGGAAGTAAAGTCTGTCCCACCCATAACCAAGAAGCTATTGGCAACTGGTAGTTGCTGGAAGAAAGAAAAAAGCAAAAACACTTTTCTTCAAGACGTATATGAAACTGGGTATATTAACTGCACCTCACCACAGGCCTCATGATCAGGAGTAGTTGACCAATAAAACTGGAACCCATTCTTTGTGTGTGTGTGTGTGTGTGTGTGTGTGCTTTGTTTTATTTTGACTTTTTAAGAGAAAGAAGGAGTATATAGTTGTGTGAATGTTGGGGGTAGGATCTGGGAGAAGTTGGGGGAGGGTAGAGAATATAATCATAATATATTGTACAAAAAAAGAGCAAAGATATAGACAGATGAAGTTGAAAACATTTTTATGCAACATAAACAATTTTTTTCTTGATAAGCAGCTCAGATTCTGTATTTCTATACAACTGGACAAATAAAACATCAGCTGATTTTATTTTATTTTCAATATATAAATTGTTAGTATGCAAAAGTGTGTTTTAATACATTTATTTCTCACAATTTTTCTCAGAATGTTTTGGAAACTAGAAAGTGAACATAATTATTCTGTGGGATTATGTTCATAAAGTGGCAGATTTTATAGAGAATCAGTATACCATACAATATGTATGTTCTGGACAGAAATAAGCACTATAAAATGTATAAAAACACATTTAAAAATACAAATACAGTATGTTTTGGTTGGAATTTTAAAGATGCTTTTTTTTCTTCTCTTTCCCTTTTACCTCAAAAGTAATAAACACTTTCGAAGCTGCATGCATTGTTGCACTTTTAATTTTTTGCTGTACAGTTAATGAACCCGGCAGTCTGGATATCTGATGATCATCGATTTGACCTTCCCATTCTTTTGTTTCTTCTTCTTTGATTAGTAAAGGTTTTCCCAGAGTTTGGCCAACAAGGTCACAGACTTCTTGAGCTTTGCGCCATGCATTCTCAACAGCAACAAGACAGGCTTGCCGCCTTAGGGATTGAAAGTAAAGATTAATATGACATTAAAAGAACTGCCACACTCAATAGTTTTATTTAGAATGAATAATTTAAAGATGTGCTTAACTTACCGAAGATTCTCAATGGAACCAGAAGTGTGATAGAACTCAGGTGGGCTGATGACAACAGAGCTATCTAGCTTTTCAACCAGAAAGTTACAAATATTTTGCATTTTTCCAAATTCAGTAAATGTAATGCAGACCTGTAATTGAAATATACTTGATGTTATTTCCATGCCTCATGTAGTTTTAAAATTTTGTCTAAATATAAGTATAAAAAGTAAAGTCAAGCTGGTGTAGTAGTGCACACCTCTAATCTCAGCACTTGGGAAACAGAGTCAAGTAGATCTATGTGAGTTCAAGAAAAGCCTTGTCTACAGAGGAAGTTTCAGGTCAGCCAAGATCCTGTCTCAAATAAATAAAAAACAGATAGGAAGGAGTAAAGCCAGATTATACTGTTCTTTTATAGTAACAAATAACAAATATACTAGATAAGAAAAAACCATTTAATGCTTATAGCTATATTATTTTCTTACTAAAGACTTGTGCTTATGAAATTTAAAATGATCTAATATTAGCTTGTATGTTTAAAAATATTTTAAAATATTTTATTTAAAATTCATTTTTACTTTTTCTGAAATTGGAGGGTTCTCCCTTTCAGCTTCATTATTGGCTAATTTCCAACCCTGATACTATTCTGACTTCTTAGTCTAATTTTTTCAGTTAGACTTCTGACTGTTAATGAGTACATCTGCCTTTACTGATACCACTATGTGTGTGACCTTACAGTGGTCTAACTATTTCCTTATGTATCCACCTTTAAATAAATGGAGCAGTGACCTCATTACAGCAAGACTTGAAAGCTGTAGTCTCTTTTCTAAGATTGACTTTTTTTTAATGTGTGGGAATTTTGTCTACATGTGTAGCTGCATACCATGTGTGTGCTGTGATACACCTGTGGTAGCCAGAAGAGGGCATGAGCAATCTAAATTAAAACCTCAATATACAAATCTATTAATTTGGTATATTTGTAGTGTTGAAGCATGGGCAATATTCCCCACCTCACACCATCCCCAGAGACGGACAAAGTGGCTATAAAACATTACAGCTGGAGAGTCCTTTCTCAGTAAACCTGAGGCATGCACAAAAGGGACAGGGAGGAAGTAAGGCAGTCACTCAAATCCTGGGAGATGGGGTTGCAAACCCAAAGCTTCACTAGCCTGTGGGCACATCCATCCTTGAATGGATGGGTACATGAAGGGGCCAGTGTCTCAGGGAATTGGGTTGGAAGAAACATGGGAAAGGCCTCTAGCTGACCATGTCTGCTCACCCACCCTGACTGCATTGGTTAAATTTGAGTATGAGATGCCTCAGTGTGGTGTGCTGACCTAGCCTGGTCTGGCCAGGCCATTTGTGAAGCAGATTACGACCCAGCTTCCATTTTTGCAAAAGACAAAAAGCAGGAAGCGCAGTAGGTATAGCCATAGAACAGGAAAGGAGGCCCCTCAGGCTCTGGAGGACTGAGAACCTAGCAAGACCCCAACATCCTGGTCCCATCCTGTGCCATCACCCGATGATGACAAGGTTCCAGTTTCTGTTTGATGTGGGAGTCCCCTTTATATGTTGTGAATACCATTGGTGAATAAAGAAACTGCCTTAGCCTGCTGATAGAGCAGAACTTAGGTGGGGGGGGGGGGGAACACCTAAACTGAATGCTGGAACTTTAGCCGGTAAGCCACAGTCATGTGGTAATACACAGATTAATAGAAATCGGTTAAATTAATATATAAGAGTTAGCCAATAAGAAGCTAGAGCTAATGGGCCAACCAGTGATCTAAATAATATAGTTTCTGTGTGATTATTTTGGGACTGAGTAGCCGGGAACCAACAAGCGGCTCCTCCTGCAAAATCTGTTGGATGTGTCCCACCACCCCTGGGCAAAGTCCCTGGGCCACAGCAGCAGCTGGAGAAAGAGGCAGATGAAGGAGGTAAATGTCTAAGAGCTTGAGGAAGCTCGGGCAGGAAACCCGTTGCTGTTTGTTCCATTAAGGTGCCCTTGTCCGGCAGCTTGAGGCAGAAGGCACTGACTAGTGTTTGGGGTGAAACTGCTGAGTGCTGTCGTGATGCAGCAGCTGGTAACAGGAGAGCAGAACCACGCCGCTCATGTACTAGCGGTACTGCTGTCTGTTTGCTCAAAGAAGCTGTGGACAAAAGGCAGGCAACATCCCCAGCACACATGTACGCAGACAGGATGCCACAGAGTGGGGTGTAGTTGTCCGGGATGGCCCCATCCTCCACCACATGTGGGTGCAAACATGCCAGAGTAATGTGTCCAGCAGGAAGCTCTGCCCTCTTTCTTACGGAACCTTTCCACATGGGGAACCTAAGTGCTCAGCACCTTGTAGAAGTTTCAGGATCCCATCTCCTACTGGCTGTGGGTGCTGAGGAAGTGCTCAGGGTGACGTGTCTTCCCCAGGACTGTTATAATCTGCCTGCTGATGGGCTTCTCGCTGCCCCTTTGGCAACGATGGGGATCCCAGATTTGTTCCAGTCAGACTGAAGACTCCCCAGCATGCTGTGGAGCTGGCTCCTGGGCTATCGCGTTCCTTGGAGGATGAGCTGCTCAGTCTTCCCCCGAGCCATGAACTCTCCTCCCTCTTCTAAATAATCTGTCCCACTACTTCACAAATCTCATTTCATTTTATTACCCATTGCTCCTCAACTTCCAGGCCCTTGGCAGTTAACCAACCTGTTCCTGACTGACAGGCCAGCCTCTTCCAGGAATATGCTGTCTTCAGAGACTCCTTTAACTTGGCGAACTGTATGTGCAGTTTCAGCATGCTCTTGCATAAGTGAGTACTACTCTACTACTACTACTCTGAGTAGTGTTCTGCTATGTGAATAACACCACAGTTTGCCCGAAGCATTTGTTTCCAGTTTGAGGCTATTATAACTAAGATGCTTTTTCAAAATGGCTGGAGATTTTTTGCAATTCTGAATGTATTTTTGACAGTTTGCCAATTTCTATCTTTAAAAGCTAACTAGGATTTGAAATAGGTTTGGAATAAATCTATGTGTAACTTATTTTAGGGAGGATAAGTGTCAGTAATGTTGGTTCTTCCAAATCACAAACAAGATACATCTCTCCACTTGAGACTTTCTCTTAGAATGTTTTTATACTCTTTAAAATGTTTTTTAGCATACTTTATAAGCTGTATCCCTTGACATTTAAAATTTATGTTTATCACTTCTAATACATTTTTTCCATAACATTTTCTAGATAGATGGTAATATTGTTCCTGAATAAAGAGTATTTTATTTCTTCCTTCTCAGTTTTGATATTTTTATCCTTGTCTGGCCTCTCCCCAAACTACACTGGCTAGTATAATGTTAAAAAGAAGCCATAAGAGTAGCCATCATCTTTGTATGGTACCTGGTCTTAAGCACAAAGTATTCGATATTTCACCATAAAGGTATAATGTTACCCACAGCTTTTTAAATAGATATCCCTTATTAAATTAATTAATTTTGACACAGTGAGACAGGGTCTCAATATGAAGACCAGACTGGTCTGAAATGCATTGAGATCAGGTCTGCCTCTGTCTCCCTAGTGCTGAGATGAAAAGGATGAGTCAATATACTGGGTTGTAGAGAATTTTTATTAAGAATGTTTATTAAATATTGATGATAGATTTTAGTAAATGCCATTCTACATCTACCAAAATGAACCTGTCATTTTTCTCTTTTGGTTTCTTAATATGACTCAGAATAATCAAATTTTTTCAGATGTTATACCAACCTTTTATGCTTGAAATAACTCATACTTGGCTGTTATGAATTATCTTCTATATCTGAGGCCTGGTTTCTAACCTGTTGCTATAATAAAACCCTGACCAAAGCAACCTGAAGAGGGAAAGGGCTTATTTGTTTTAAAATTCCAGGTCACAATCCATCACTGAGGGGAAATCAAAGCAGGAACATGAGGCAGCCGGTGACATGCAGTCAAGAGCAGAGAGGGAACCAATGTACAGCCCAGAGTCCAAGACTGGTGACACTCACACAGTCCCACACAGTCACACCACAGGCCACCCGATCAGACAATTCCTCATTGAGAATCTCATGCGATTCTAGATTATATCAAGTTGACAATTAAAACTAACCAATATTATATGTATACATATAACTCAACTGGGTTTGCTAAAACTGTTTATAATTTAATGTATCTGATTGATACTGGTGTGTAGTTTTCTTTCCGATATTCACCCTACAGCTAAGCATAGCAAGCTTTGTTATCTTCTGACTCCAAAGAGTGAGCTGGGGAGTACTGCACCTTTTTCAGTTTCTGGAAAGAACTACAGTTGGAATGTCTTTCTTAAACTTACTTACACACTTTTTAATTTCCTGTTTAATTTCTTCTTCAATACACGTGTTACTGAAAAGCACGGTATTTAAAATCCAAATGTTTGCAGGGCCTCCTTGAGAACTTTGTTACTGGTTTCTAACATAATTCCGCTTGGTTAGAGAACACATTGTGCATGTTTTAACTGTGTTTACGGTTATTGGCCCAGAATATAAACTGTCTTGGAAAATGCCCCAGATGAAAGCATGGGTAACTTGTTTTGGGAGTAAGTAGTCAATAAATGTCAAGCAGGTCGAACTGACTGACAGTATAGTCAAATATCTTCTATTTTTACTGATTTCCTCTTGTGATAGCTAACCTTGGCTATCAACTCTACTGCATCTGCAATCAACCCGAAGCCAAACAGCTGACTGGACAGGACAGAAGAAGCTTCTGCTCTCTGCCTGCTCGCCCTCGCCCTCACTGCTGAGTCCATTCCCTCATCAGCATTAGAACCTCCTTCTCTGAGATTCTAACAAAGACTAAAGACCAACAGAGCCACCCAGCTTCATGGACTGCACAACTACCAGATTGTTGGCTTTTCCATTGGAGACTGGCTGGACCACAGCCTGTAAACCACTTTTCTACTAAAGCCATGGTAGTTCTATCATCTTTACACTGAGTATTCTGAAGCTTTGTGTAGTATTAGGAATGGACTAAACATTGTATATCCTCTTATTACATTATCTCCTTATCATTAAGAATGATTTTGTTCTTTGTGTGGTAACATGCTTAGCTCTGCAATCTCTTTCTGTAATTATTATAGATACTCCACCTTTCTTTTGATTCACAGCTGAACGGTATATTTTTCTGCATCTCATTACTTGTAACCAATACAGCTTCATATTTAGAGTATGCTTCCCTCAGTCAGCATATAGGTGGAGTTTATGTCTTTATGCAATCTAAAAATTCTTTTTTAAAGACAGGATCTCACTACGCAGCCATGGCTGGCCTGTAACTCACAGAGATCCACCTGACTCTGCCTGATCTTACAGACCTGAAGTTCTACACAGACAAAATATTTTCTTCTGATGAAGGTACTTAGACCATTTATATTTTCTGTGATTACCGATATGCCCATGACCTTATTATTTTATATTTGTCTGTTCTTCGGTTTCTTAATTCCTGTTTTTGAATGTTTTTATTATTCTATTTTATATTCCTCATTGCTTATTAGTTGTGCTGCTATTTTAGTATTAATAACATACATTACATGTCTAGCTTATCACAATCTACTTATAAGAGGTATATTATGAACATATGAACCTAAATAGTATACTTTATTTTCTGTCCTTACGTATTATTACTCTATTTATAACTTTTATATATGGCATGTTATTCATTATCCTTATAATTTAAGTGAGACTCTAAAAAAAGACTTATTTTAGGAAAGTATCTGTTAAGGCAAACAGTTCCCATTTTCCATGTTCTTTGTTCTATTGTGTAGACGGATGGCTTTTTCTTTCTGATATCATTTTCTTTTGCCCATATGATACTACTGAACATTTCTGAAAAACAGGTCTGTATGTAATGAATTCTTTCAGCTTATTAAAAAACCCTTTAATTGGCATTTACTTCTGGCATTTTATTTGATATAGGATTGTAGGCTTACCACTAGTTTTTCCTCCTATTTAATGGTTTATTTTTGAGATGGGCTCTGGCTATGTAGCTCAGGCTGGACTGAACTTTGTGATCTTCCCTACCCACTGTCCCTCAGGCTAAAATTAAAGACTTGTGTAGTCATGGATGGCTTGTGTACATGGGGAGAAGGCTGTACTTATGCTGGTACACAGGTCTGCTCATGCACTTGTGGAGACTGGAGGCCACCCTGGAGTATCATCCCCTCTCCCCATCCTATGTTTTGACAGGGTTGCCCACTGCACCTGGAGCTTCCCAACTGGCTGGATCGGGTGGACAGCAAGTCCTCAAATTTTCCTGTCTCCTCTTTCCAGTGTGCAATTACAGAAGCATACCACCATGCCCAGTTTTTTCTGTGGGGGCCAGGGTTCCAATCTCTGGTCTTTATACTCAAAAAGGGAACAATTTTCTCACCAAGCCATCTCTCCAGCCCTCACGGCTCTTTTCAGTACTTTAAAGATGTTGATCCACTGTTTCTTCCTCTGCATTGTTTTTCACAGAACAATAAAAAGAAATCGATTTCTTGTGAAAGGAGAGAGTAGTCCAGTTACTGTGTGACAACTGCAGGCACATTTGCTGTAGTGCTGTCTGCAGTGTCAAGTGAGCACTGGATCCTAGTCTCTGAGGAGAAGGCACGTGGAGGCCAGGGTACGGGTATTTCATCTGGATGAAGATGGTGTAAAATCGTTTGGATATACACCCATAAGTGGAACTGCTAGATCATAGGGCATTTGTTCAATATTCTGAGAAAATTCCATATTATCTTCTACACAAACTTTACCATTTTACATTACCACTGGCGATGCACAAGGTTCTACCTTCTCCACCTCCTGGCCTAACACTATGTTTTGCTGCTTTGATAATAATCACAAACAGGTGTGATGTTATAATTCACTGTGGTTTTGAGTTCTATTTCTCTGAAAATTAGAGATGCTGAATGCCTTCGCTTATCTGTTGGTGCATTTTGATAAGTATCTATTCAAACCATCTATAAATTTTAAAATCATATTACATGTGTTTGTGCTATTGCTGTTTTACATGTCTAACTACCATTTAACCATATGACACATATCTAGTAGTCCATGAGAAGACTAGAATATGTTAGATATTTATTGGCTCTTGGAGTCTGCTACATTCACGGCCATAAAGTCAGCCATCTTTCTTTTTGAAGAGGTTAGCGCACTTTGTACCTTGTGAGTGTATTACCACGGTCTCCACTGACCACTGGTGACGATCTAAAGGCAACCATGTACAGGGATGTACAGTGTAGTGTAAGGTCTGGATTCCAGGGGGTCCTAAGTGAAATATAATCACATGCTTTCTTAAGAAATCAGAATACGCAACACCAAAAAGGCAGGCACAGCAGAAGGAAGAGCAGAAGGAAGCTCAGTTCTCACACAGTCAAGGACTCTTGCTGAACCGGTAACTTTAGTCTTAGAACTCTGCAGTCTCCCATCCCTTGTTCAGTTCTGGAACTCTCTTCCCTGTGCTCTTGGTGAGACTGTATAATAATAAACTAAGCACACCTGGGAGTGATGGTGCCAGACTCTAGCCCCAGCACTCGGGAAGCTGACACAGGAAAAACATAAATTTGAGGCTAGTGCGGGTTACATATTGAGACACTGCCTAAAAACAAACAAAAACAAAAAAAAATACCTTCCCAGGATTCTCCCACATTCATTGCAGCCTGAAGTCCTCACAGGTAAAACCATTAGTGGGACCCACTAGCCTACTAACATTAAACCTCTACAATTCAGAATCTTGCCTGACCGCTCTTCACTCTGTCAAAAATAATCTATGCCAAATGATGCCTAAGTTCACAATGAATAATTATAAATTTCCTTGAGACAGTTAAATTTTAGATGGACCAGTCCCAAAGCTAACTGAGTCACCTTTCCAATGTCCACTCTGTCGTGCTACTCTGATTTTATGCTCCATTTCTGAGAAGCAGGAGCCCGCGATCTAACCTTAATATTAATACTAGGATGTATTAACACACTAACTACAGGGGGCCACCAGGTGGCTTCCGGAGGTGTTCTCTACTTCTAGAGAGAAAGATTCTCTCACTGGTAGACAAAATACCACTCTTAACTCAACCATCTTTGTTTCCAAAGACAAGGTGGGAGCTGGACTAAGCATCTGTCTGAAAACACGAACATCACAAACAACAGTCTTACATCACTAGACACACTGACCGAAAACTCCGCCCACCCCAGCCCTCAGAGGGAGACACGCAGCCATGCTGGGATCTCAGTTATCAAGGACTGAGCACTCTGAAAACACTGTGCTCCTTCTTAATGTGGACAGAGACAGCATGATTCAGAATTTAAGGAACTTTTATCTCAGTGGCCATGAAACTGTATTGAGAAACAAAAGAATGTTTAAAAAGGGTCTCAATTCCTTATAGCTTTTTCACATAGTTTCTCATCTAAGGAAAATTTCTTTCCTGTAATGATTCCTGCTCACCAGCCAATAAAATTACGAAGAGTCTGTGGTACCGAGCTGCTATTCCCCTGTTGCTGTGTTTATTTCATTGTACACCATTTCCCTTAAGTAGATCTCACTAAATGTATTTGAAAGCATCACTAGATATATATCAGAACCATTTTAAAGAAAAACCATCTTTTGTCATCACCATAAGAATCCTTTTTCTGGTAAATTTCAGTTTCAGAATAAAAATTGATTGCAGTTGCCGCCACAGAGTCAAGGGTTTTCCATCATTACATACCTCGGCTTCCATGTGATAAGCATTTTCTACTCTTCTAATATCCTTTGTCACGGTTACATTTTCTGCCTGAAACAGAAAGTACCAGAGTAACGTTACCAAACCTTTGGCTACTAAATTCACTTGTTTCTGCCTGACGATTAAGAAGCCTGAGTTTGAAATAGGAAGACACACAGGACACAAAATGAATTGCCGGCATTGATGTTCCAAACTTCCTTAAAACTGCCATAAAATCAATCAGAACCTACAAATACTGTTAAAAAAAATGATCCGTTTTCACTTCAGGTTTTAGTCACTTATTTCACTTGTATGAACTAACTTGACAAAGTACCTACCATATGCACCTTTGGGTAAGTTACTAGGAATCTTTTGAGCCTTTGCTTCCACATGTATAAAATCAGGTCAATACACCACATGGCTGTTATGATGATTTAAAAACAAGTTTTATGTAAAGTACTTAGAGAGTGACGACAAAAGACAGATGCAGACTCCATAATATTAGAGCAGAGAATTCCACTATGCCTTCCGTGACACAGTGTACTTCTCAAACTATGATCCAAAGGAAAAATAGGAAGGAAGGAAGGAAGAAGGAAGGAAGGAGGGAGAGAGGGAGGGAGAGAGGGAGAGAGGGAGGGAGGGAGGGAGGGAGGGAGGAAAAAGAAAGATCCCACAACCAATAAATATATGACTAGATTGTCCCTGAATCTTCCCACAGATATGTAAGGAAGCTAAACAGTTCTTCCGTCTGGGAAGCAAGTCCTGAGTAATGAGTACTAACTGACATGTGCAGCATGAATCCTAATTGGTCTTAACAATAGAACCCAGAGTCAGATATAGAGGTTAATGCTGAAGATCAGAGAGGAAGAGTGGCCAGTCACTAGTTCTTACTTTTACTGAATCGTCCGACTGAAATGGGTATCCTGTCTCTACATGTCCTCAGACTGAATGCTGTCTCTATGGAACCTCGGACTGCCTCTAAGCTCCTGTCTCCTCCTGCCTCACATTCCTCTCTCCCCCTAGCCAGAGCGCTCCTGTGCTAATAGGAATATATGAGTTTGTTATGTTCAATTAAAGGCATGTGCTCTCAAGTGCTGGGATCACCTTTGTGTGAGCTGTTTCTCCTTTGGACAGATTCAAGCTCATGTAGCCCAGGACGACCCTGAACTCACAGAGATTTGTCCACCTCTGTCTTGTGAGTCCTGGGATTAAAGGTATGTGCCACCACTGCCTGGCCTCTATGGCTAACTAGTGGCTTAGCGTCACACTCTGACATGCCTTTCCACACTCCCTTTAGTACAGCCGTGTTCGTTGTTTACAACAGAATTGGGTTCATTTATCGTAGTCTGAATTCTGTCCTGGGAGTAACGTCTGACAGCCTGTTTGATACCTCCCCCAGTTTTTGACAGTTCTGACAGATGCTGGTGATGTAGCAAGCACTCCAGCACAGTGGGAGCTGTCCTTCACATTAAGGCTCTCCTGTGCAATCCCCTTTACAGTTAACCACTTAGTTGCCTCCACAGGTTTGTGTATGAATGGAATGATGAAACATCTGTTCTTTGGTCTGACTTTGTACTTACCAATATGTACCGAAATGACTACATTTTTGGCTACACTGCAAGTTAGAGGCCAGGAATATTGTTAAACATTCTACATCATACAGGTTAACCCAACAAAAGGGAATTATCTACCTCAAAATGTCATAGTGCTAAGGCTGATAAATCTACCGTATCAGCCTATTTCACAAGGCTTTCCTTATTAAGTTATAATTTTGTTTCTACATACATATAAAAGGCAGACTTTCAAAACAAAATGGTCAATACAGGAGTAGCTATTTAAGTCATATGAAAAAGTAGGTTAATCATCAATAGCCATAAAAAGCCATATAAAAATAAGCTAAAAAGTAAAAACTATACAGATGTACAGAAAAAAAATTTGAATAAACTTACTATGATACAATATTGTAAAATCAGCAATTATCCTGAAATATATATATATATATATGCTTAATAGCAAATACAAAGGGAAGTCTTACTTGTTCTCTAGAGGTTTCTAACATTAGAATTACAGACTGTATCTCCATGTTCCCATTTAACCTGCCCTGTTCCCCGAAGGCAGGAAATTTTTCCAGTAGAACAGTAACTAGGGGAACATGGTCTCATACTAAGATCTAATAATTGAAACACTGTGGATAACATAGGAGTACCACACAGATCCAATAGTTTACTCTAGATCTGGGTCAAAAAACCTTAAGAATCAAAAAATTCAACGACTTGGATTATTTTAAAGCAATAGACAGTATGTAATCCTCAGGTTATAGTTATTCTCCTGAGCAGCAACTGTGTGATTCAAGTAAACCTTTAGAGATCACAACCATTTTGGATTACACATTTGCTTACCACAAACAGGCAGACATCAAAATAGAAGTTAATTTGTCTATTGCATTTCTCTTGCGACAAACAGAAGTTTAAGTTGTCCATTCCGGCTTTATTCTAGATTTATTTATGTGTACGAGTGTTTTGCTCACATCTGTGTCCGTGCATAATGTGTGTGCTTGGTGCCCACGGAGTTGAGAAGAGGTCATCAGATCTCCTGGAACCGGAGTTACAGAGGCCTGGGGTCAGAAACTACCTCAATTATCCCACTCAACAGGCGAAGAAGCTGGGCCCCTCCTGTTCACTCCTGTCACCCAATTCAATGCCTTCAGACCTTTACTCGAAGACTATTCAGGGTGGAGTGGGAAAACTTAATTTCCTGGCATTAACGCATGACCCCCTTTGCTGGAAGTTTCAGAGCCTGGAAGCTTTTCCACCCAGGCAATTAACTCACATATAATGGCAGACAGGTGTTGGGCCAGCAAGCACATAAAAGATGATTAATATCACCTGCTATACCCCCTACCTGACACCTCCATCATCTCCTGCCAAGAGAATAAAGTAATACCATACAGTCATAGTTAAAAGCACGGCTCAAAGGTCTTAGTTGGTATCTAAACTCAGTCATCTCTCAGTCGAGGGCAAGCTATCTGCCAGTAGTCACTCTGGTCCTGAGAATTCTCTTCTTTACAGAAGAACTTGATAGAGTAGGACTATCGAGTGAGACAGCATTTGTGTAAGTTCTATCGACAGTAAGTAGCTGCCTTAATTATGAAGAATACTGAGACACTCACGTCAGAATCTAAACTGCTTTCTCAGGCTTGTCTTCCGAGCACTTGTTTGCAAGCTTATGCTGCTCTCAAGGCTGTGGAGTCTTCAGAAGAAGCCTGGCTGGCAAAGAAGGCCACTAGAGGTGGGGATGCGGTGGAGGGTGATAGAGGAAGACGTACACACACTTACAGAATTATAACTCGGCCCTGCTTATAGTCCCATTCTCTGCTTCCTGCAACCATAGACTGAGCTGCTCCTGCCACCATGCCTTGCCTGCCACCATGGTGAGACCCTCTGAAATTGTGAACCAAAATAAATTTTTCCTCTTTCAAGCTGCTCCTGCCAAGCCCAGTAGCACCCGTAAGAACAGCAAAGCTGCGCAGCCACACACTTCTGTGTTCGGCCTCCAATTCTCTCCTTTAGTCTTATCTCTTAATTCTGTCCTAAGGTGCCCAGTGTCTTCTGTGTTCCCGCCATACTGAACCACTCGGAGTGCTGTTGACATATATGCCCGCTGCATTCTGATGTGCAACTGGAATGATTGCCCATTGCTCAGTGCCTAACATTTTGGCAGAATGTCACTTTCTTTATGAAGTCTTTCTAGAATTCTTAAGTCAAAACCAATGTCATCTCTTCAACGTACTATACATGTACTTTCATGGCAGCATGAATCATTCTATTCTGATCATGGGATTCCAGCAGCAGAGGGCTCTGTCTCCATCAAATCCTTCCCCTCAGAGCCCAGGGAACTCTAGGGAAGAGGAGGAGGTAGGAGTAGTGGGGGAGAAAAAAGGATGGAGGACATCAGGAGAACAAAAGCCTTCTAAAATAACTGAGCACAGCTCCTAAGAACTCGAAGACCGAAGCAGCAATCACAGGGCCCCCGCATAAACACTATAGCTTTTAGCTTAGTATTTCTATGGGACCCCTGGATGTCTAAATGGGTGGGTCTCTGATTCTTGTGCCTTCTCTTGGGGTTCTTTTACTTTTCTGTTGACTTGTCTTGTCCAACTTTGATGTGGTGTTTTTTTGTTTTATCTTATTTTCATATCTCTCTCTCTCTCTCTCTCTCTCTCTCTCACACACACACACACACACACACACACACACACACACATCATTATCTCTCTTCTTATTGCCTATCAACCTGCCTGAGGCACGTATAGCTATTGAAAATAATACAATTATGAGTAGCCAAATACTAGAGTTTATAGTCTAAATTGGTATATAAAATAGAAATTCACTCTAATCTGCACTGCTTGGATGCTGTATTCATATATTAAGACCTAATCACTAGTGTGAGGCTATAAAATGGTCTTTGAGATTAGATGATAAGGGTGGAGCCTCATGGATGGAATTAGTTAGTGTCCTTATTAAGAAGAGGCCCCAGTGAGTTGCCTTGTCCCTTCTATTTTGTGAGAACATGGGGAGAAGGCGCCATCTATGTTCCATGAACTGAATCTTCACCGGACAAAATCAAAGCTCTTGGTGTCTTAGCCTTTCTGACTCCCCCAGGGCTACAAAGACTAAATTTCCAATGTTTAGGGGCTACTGAGGTGGTGACATTTCATTCTAGCAGTCCCTGAAGTAAGACCAAGTTAGGTTAAGTGCCACGTAAACCTCAACAGGGTTAGGGAATACCTAATAAATGTTCCTTGATTAAGTAAACACGATTTGGAATTTTACAACATTTCCATTAAAACAATGTTAAAACTGACTGCTATATCTTCATACAGATTCACAAATCCACCTACAAATAGTTGAGCTACTAACTTATGCGCTGTGTCATCCTTTTCTCCTTTACTCCCCGAAAAGCATTTTTTACTGTATACATTACGCCAATGAGCATCACTCAAAGGCTGAGTACCTCAGTAACAGCCTGACAGACACACTCTTTGAAGGAAAAAGTGGAGTGTTGTATAACAGAGATCAGTGTAGAGAAAGGAATGCCACGAGTGTGATTTTGGTCTCATTCTTTAAAAGCAAAGTGGAAGTCATCTAAACTAAGAGGGGAGGGAAGCCAGGAAATAAGGATGAGAGAATCAGGTTCCAGCCCTCAAGCAAGTGTTTAGATTGGGAGGGGCCCTTGAATTAGGGGAGTGCATATTTATGAGTCAGTACTTCAAAGTTTAAAATGTATAATGCTATAAGGACCTTGTGGAGAGCATAATTTGTCCTGAGACCATCTGTTAAGAGAGCTGTCTTTCCTCCATTGTCATGCAGCAGTCTGGGAGATCGCAATCCCGGCACCTTGCTTTGAACGATGACTTTGAATGCAATTCCTACATTTATTTTTACATATTAGGAGTTAGAAACATGGGTTCAGATTATGTTCTATGTCAATGGCATAAAATACTAACTACATTATTCAAACAGGACTGCAGCAGGTTGCTTAGGAGATTCTTGCTTTTATATTTTATACCCATTTTATTCACATTATTTACAATTTATATTTAAATTTTTCTAAAATGTAATTAACTTAGGATTTTTTTGTTTGTTTGATTGATTTTTTTGCTCAGGTCATTTCAATTATTCTGGTTTTAAATAAAATACAAATACATTTTCTTTAAAAAAAAAATAAAGACCTATGGTTTTTCTTCAAAGATATGACATTTCTAGTACAGAAGCAAGATTATGTTTCACTTTGAACAAGTCAGAGTACCCCAGAACCAGGGTTCCTGCAGCTGGGGTTCTGTTTTGTATAATAATAACCTTGAGAGAGCTCAGTGTCCGTGGCTTCTAAGTTTCTTTCGTCATAATTATCTGAAGTGTGACAAAGTTGAAAGCAACCTCGATTGTGGTTTCAGGAACAGGATTTCAAATACTGTTCTTTAAAGTTCAGAGCATTACTTTGTTTCTCTATCTGGAAGATGGGGATATTAAAGCATACCTAACAGAATTGCTGTGTGGGGTAACTAACGCTATTTACCACTCCTTTAGGGGGCTTAAGGTATTATCGATTTAGTGATTTGTTTCACGGACAAATTTAGTAAGTAGAAGCATTTCACCTATGATACTTACATATATTGACTTTAAAAGAAGTTAAAATTAAAAAATTTGGGCAATTTGGGGTAGGTGATCATCATAAACCCAAAACGGATGCTAAATCTGCAATTACACTGAAGAGCCACTCCACACGAACCTTTGACTGGGAGGAAGCATTCAAGCTCCTCGCCTGCCAATTTCAACATGCAGAATAAAAACAACTCTCCAAGGGGGTTACGGTCCAACCTTCCAGTTAGGCAAGCATTAAGTGTAACTTTTCAAGAAAACATTTCATCCCTTTAAGCGTAAAAAGAAAATCACTGTAGCAAATACGACCAGATAAAAACCTACCCAATCTGCATTCGGGGACTTCGAGTTCACTGCGGCCAACAACTGCTTTCATTTAGATTCGAGAAGGCAGAGTCAAGCATCCACTGCGCCCTGGAATGAATACCGGGGTAACAAAGCATCGCCAAGGCCCCAGAGTCACCCGCCTCGCACCCCATCCCCGGAAGCTCACCTGAAGACCCTGCTGCTGGAGGCTCTGCGTGATGTAGTCCAGGCGGCGGCACACACTCTTCTTGGCCTCAGCTGCAGCCTCCTTGGTGCTGCTCACCCGCACGGCCACCTGCGCCCGGTCGGGGCTGGCGGACACCTCGGCCGCGCCGCTCACGTGGACCTCGCGGGCTCCGGGGTGGGCCTTGGCGGCGTGGGGACGGCTGCCGACGGGCTGCGCCTCCAAGGCCGAGATCGGGTTGTTTTCCCGGCCCAGGTTAGCCCAGGGAACCAGTTCCATGAACACCCGCGACGGAGGGGCGGGCTGCAGCGACATAGCTGGGGCAGCTGCGTTGCCATAGCAATGCCCGGTTGCAGGCGGGGAGTGACGCCCGGCTCCCCGCTGGGCTGGGCGGCGGCGCAGCGCAAAGGATGCCGGGACGGAACTGGCGGAGCTGCGGCGTGCTGGGGGCCGCTGCGGAGTGGCCACGGCTCGCCCTCTCGGAGTAGGCCGATTCTGTCGGTGCAGGTCGGAAAGAGTTAACTCGTGGCGTGCAGGAGCCTCCCTGCCAGTGAGCGCGGTCCTCCCACGTGACCCTGTCACACACTCCCCACCCCACCCCCACGTCACCAAGGGGACATGGCCTCCATTTCCGGAGTGGGGGGGGGGGGGGGGGGGGGGGGGGGGGGGGGGGGG